TTAACACAAAATAGAAAGTAAATATGTCTATATTTATACTTAATATATGTATAATAATTATATTCCTTATATATATTTTTTAAAAATATTCCTTATAAATTAACACAATATATAAAGCATATGTATTAAAATATTACACGTTAATTAATTATTATAGTTTTATGAATTAATTTAATTAATAATATAAATTTATTTTTAATTACATGAAATTAAATATATAATTGAATTTGAGTATCGGGTACCAAGAAGTGGTACCAATCTTATCAAAACCTAGTATGAGTAGTGAAATTATTATCTGAACTTTACTCAAAATCTGATTATAGGATATTCTAACTCTATAAAACTCATCGGGTATCTGTGAGTATCTTATAACAAAATACCCATAGCCATTTCTCCTAAAAATAGATGAGAGATTTCATACATGAAAAACTTTTTTTTTTTTTTTTATATAAATTTTTTCCTTAACTAACTTTAATTATTTTGTATTATATTAAATATTATAGTATTTTAGTGAAAATAATTATAATGATACAATCCATGTAAAATGATTGAATAAAGATAATTAATGATGTTTTCTTGGAAAAAGAATAATAAATAAAAAAGAAAATAATAATATTTTATTATTTTACAAGATCAATTTTAAGGAGAGAATAAAATAAATAAAATATATTTTTTTTTAACGTAAGACTTTTTATGTTGATCAATATAAAATTTTTCGTTGAAACCTGTAATACATTTATAAAAATCTTCTCATTTCCAAACAATCAAAATTTTTTTTCAAAATTTTGAATTATTTTTAATTTTACCAAACGAAGTCTTTAAATGACTTGGCTTTGATCGTTGACTTGACTTGACGAGTCGACAAAATGGAATGCCCTATGAAATCTGGCACATCATCAACATATTAGGTTCTAAGATTAAATAACATGATCTTATCATTATTCTTTTCCTTTTGATAAAGTTGTTATAATTAGCATCATTCTTTGTTTCGTATAATGATTTATATTAATATTGGTGATAAAAAGAGTATTATAACTCAAATCATTAGCATAGCTTATGTTCACGTCTTTTATACTTTATTTATTTATTTTAAATTAATACATTGTTTTAATTAATCACGAAAACAAGGAATGTAAATATATATTATTTTTGTTATAAAATATATCAAGGTAAAATGGGATGAAAACACGTAATCGCCACATTGAAGGAAAACATGGGGCTTTGTCCCCGACTTATTCTTACTTAATCTTGGATTAGTTTAGACTTTAGGATTAGGGTTGAAAGCCAAATTGATTGGGGCAAAATAAGTCCACTTTCCTGATTTGGTTACAGACAAAACACCCTCTCCACGTAAATAAAACTAATCAAAAGATCAAAATATAAAACGCACCAAAAAAAAAAAATCAACCCTATTGTATAACGTTTGAGCACATACGGAAACCAAACAACACTTTTTTTTTGTTGACTTACACCCGCCCTAACCTTCACAGCAATGACCAAACTCCAACAACTAAACCACTCGCTATCTTACGCCGATAAATCCAGACTATAATACCGTATCCTATTACTCTACTGTGGTAAAGAGCTTCGAGACGGGACGTTAAAATTCCGTCCACGAAAATCTTTTAATTATTTATTTGTGGAAAGTAAAACAAAAATAGTCAAATAAATATAATCCCCTAAAAAATTTTATAATTCAATCTTTGAATCTCTCTCCTATATAGTGTTGGACAGAGACAAGAAAAAAAAAAAGACAAGGAAATTAAAAAAAAAAAGAAACTTGGAAACCAGAGAGTCATGGTTTCAACGAGACGAAGTGGATCCCTCTCTGGTAGTAAAAGTAAGAGATCTTCTTCTTCTGAGGATAAGCCTCCGTCTCCAAAACGGCAAAAGGTGTCAGCATAAAACGCATCCGAATATCATTTTTTTTTGGGGGTTTTGAGAGTAGCGGGATTTGAGTGATTAGGTATTGACTTTTTAGCGGAGTTTTTTTCAGGTCGAAAATGCCGAGAACCCGATGCCGGCGGCGGAGAGTTCCAAAGAAATGTGCACGTCGCCCGCCGTGGATCCTGGAGATTGTGGGAACGGCGATGCTCCGATCGCCGGAGACGGCGTGAACCCCGGGAAGGGCGAGACGTCATCGACCGTTGTCCCCGTTACAGCACCGATCGCCGATGGTTAGTTGTTGTTTTGAGCTCTCAATGATTGTCAAGTTTTTTGTTATTTGAATTTCATTTAAGTGAATTTGGATTTGCATTTGAGTTTTGAGATGTGTCATATCTCAAAAGTTTTTACTGTCACTTTTAGTTTTTGGATTTTTTGTAGTTATTTTACTTTTTGCTTCCCATTTCTTGAATTTGAGTGTCGTTTGAGTAAGTTTGGATTTGAAATTGCTTTTCTAGAGCCTTTTTTTTTTCTTTTAGATTTTTTTGATTTCATGATTGTCATTTTTACTGAATTGGATTTGCTTGTTGTTTTAAAGGTTCTGCGCCGATTGTTTTGGACAAGGGGAGGAGTTCATTCTCTACATGGAGTATTTGCCAGAAACAGAATCCAAATTTTGAGACTTCTACACCTTGGTGCAGGCTTTTGTCGCAGTCTGCGCAGGTAATTTCAAGCTTCGCTGTGTCAAAATATCTTTCCAGTAGTTAGTCTTTGTTTGCTTGGTGTTTGACATTAAAAGCACTGTACTTGCAAATTCTCTTTTGGATAAGAGTCTTCTCTCTGTACATTTAAGCATTTTATGTCCAGTAAATTTTAGATATCTGACCTAGTGGTAGTCTTGTTTCTGAGTTTCGAAGCATTTTCTGTGAACTGCAGAATCCTAATGTTCCCATTTGCACATCAAATTTCACAATTGGCTCGAGTAAAAACTGCAATTTCCAATTGAAGGACCAGGCAATTAGTGCAATGCTTTGCAAGATAAAACACACACAGGTATCACCTAAATTTTACATTCGATATGTTGCTTTTATTGGATTGATTCAAAATTAAGAATGCTTATGCATATGAGAGGGATTTGACGCTCCTGCATGATCCTGTGTTCTCTTATCGGTGGGTGTTTTGTTGTGGTCTTTTCGATGCATTAGCTCTTTGGATTTAGGGTTTTCTATTTTTCTTTATCCTCAATTTTCTTTTTGTTTGGGCAGCCATTGTTTTTATTTTTTTTTGTGGAGATAAACTCCTTAATATGTACATGCAGTATGATACTCATTATTTGTCGACATGATCAGCAAGAAGGCAGTGCAGTAGCCATGTTAGAAAGCACTGGGAGCAAGGGGTCAGTGCAAGTTAATGGGACAGTGGTGAAGAAGAATACCAGTTGCCCACTTAACTCGGGTGATGAGGTGGTCTTCAGTTTGATGGGGAATCATGCTTATGTATCCTTTTTTTGGGTTTGAGAGCAATTCATTAAAGTCCATCTCTTGCTTGCTGAGTGATTTAATTGTGCTTGTTCTCTTCTGTGTTACTGGTTATGTGCTTCTGTGTCTGCTTATTTTTGTTATCTCCTTAATTTAATTTCTATTGATCTAGATATTTCAGCAACTCATGACTGAGGTTGCAGTTAAAGGTGCAGAGGTCCAGAATACTGTAGGAAAGTTTCTGCAACTTGAGAGGAGGTCAGGGGATACATCAGCTGTTACTGGGGCTACCATATTGGCATCACTTTCAAGTCTGAGGCCAGATTTATCCCGCTGGAAATCTCCTTCTCAAGCCAGCAGCAAGATCCACCAGGTGGCTGAGGTGCCTACTCATTCTGTTGTTCATGATGCTACGGATGTTGATCTTGATCGCTTGGAAGGAAATTCAACGGCAAACATAGGGAGTGATAAAGCTGCAGAGGTTGGAGCACTTAACAAGAATCTTCCTCTTGATTGCAACCACGACTCCAGCATAGAGGCAGGCAATGTAAAACTCTCTGGGGTGAATGATTTGCTAAGGCCTTTCTTGAGGATGTTTGCTCCATCAACTAGTTGTAATCTGAAATTGAGCAAAAGTATCTGTAAACAGGTATTGGACGAAAGAAACGAGTGGGCGAGGGATTCACAGCCAGCATCAACATCGAGTATGTCACTCCGCTGTGCAGTGTTCAAAGAGGACATTCATGCAGGAATTCTTGATGGCAGAACTTTAGAAGTGTCATTTGATAACTTTCCATATTATTTAAGGTATAATACAACTGCATAAACTGTCTCTTTTTTATTAAAGAAATCTTGCAAATGTAACTCAGACTTCTCTTAATCTTCTCTTCGTTTATCACTGTCTCCCGCCCATGCAGGTATAGTTCAGAACTCCTGGACATGATTCGTTGTTAAGTGCCTTGCTTGCTTTCTCTTAATGTTGTCATACCTTTGAAAATCCTGGCTTGTGCAATTATAACATTTAGTTTTTAATTTGTCATCATTTCTTAAAGTTTCTGGGGAGTATATTATTACTAGAATGCTGTTTTGGCACCCATTTCTTAGTTTTGTGTTGGTAAATTCTGTTATTTTCCAGAATCCAAGTTAAAGGGTTTGGAAAGATAATCTGAAATGTAGGTTGTCTTGCAACTAACCTTTTTCAATATGCATAGGGCCATCGAGAGAACCAACTGGTTGTACTCATGAATAAATGACTCTCTTTTTATTTATGGTTTCTCTAGTGCCTGCACTTTATGTTTTCAGCAGTAAAAAAAGAACTGAAAACATAAATTTGTTATTTTGGAATTGGAATGTAGCTGGGATAAGAGCAGTTTTCCTACCAATGTACCTGATCTGGCTATTAAAGGTTGAAAGCTTAAATTTTAAACAATAGTAATTTTTCTACCCATGAAGGAAACTGTCTTTAAGATTTCTATATTAGGAGTTAGAGTATGTAAAGTGAAGAGCCACTTGAATGTATGTTAGACAAGGTTTTGATAGACTATATGTTCAGGGATCTGGGGCTCCTAACTTCAAGTAATGCTGAAAGGAAAACGGAAAAGGAAGGGAAAAGAACCAAGTTAATAGGGAATTGTAGTGTTAAGCAAATCAAAGATAATTTAAGAGAAAGGAGTGAAGATGGGAAGGAGTGGATGAGAAAAGTATTGCAGTGCTCACTGACTTTGAATACTAGAGTAGATAGAAGCTATGTTAGTTACTGAATCATGATTTGGTCCGAATCTAGAAAAGGAACTCTGTTATTGAGCGTGAGAGTCTGTTAACGAAGGAAAGGAAAAGAAACAAGTAAATCAGCACTTTGATTACCGTTTCTTTAATAATTTGTAATCATAGGTATATGATGATACAATAAGTTGTGATTCTGGCACAGGGTATTTAATTTAACCTGAGATGAGTAGTAATTCAAGATTGACACGTGAAAGGTTTGGTCAGATAGATGTTGGAAGTATCCAAGCGATGTTCTGACTTTATGCAGATCTTACACTGTTCATATGTTAGTTTAGCTATTGAAGCTTATGCTATCTTTTCTTCTGTGCATTCTCAATGTTTTTCCCCCAACCGAATGAAAGTGATGGGAATTGTTTGGTAATTTATTTCTATTCAATGGGGCTTCAATAATTAGTGAATTTCTATTTTTCCAGTGAAAATACGAAAAATGTGCTGATAGCAGCTTCATTTATACACCTCAAGCACAAAGAGCATGCAAAGTATACTTCAGAGTTAACTACTGTGAATCCACGGATTTTACTTTCTGGTCCTGCAGGTGTGTGACTTAATTTTGTTATTTTTATGTCAATACAAAGATGTGCTGCTAGTATTCGTAGCTTTAAACGGGACACTTGAACTATTTCCTTCAAATGCATATGCAGGGTCTGAGATATATCAGGAGATGCTGACAAAGGCACTTGCTAATTATTTCGGGGCCAAATTGCTCATTTTTGATAGCCATTCTTTTGTGGGTGTAAGGGATCTTTATTTTTATGGGATAGTTGATTGTTGAGATTATTGCATTTTTATGGCTGTCATTGTCCAATTTCATTGTTAGCATATTATTGCTTGACAAGTCAAGATTCTAAAGGCTCATAAGTTGGTGAATTGTCAATTATAAATATCTTGTAGGGTTTGTCTTCAAAGGAAGCTGAGCTGCTGAAGGATGGAGTCAATGCAGAAAAATCCTGCACCTGCACCAAACATTGTCCTGGACCTACTGATTTGGCGAAGAGTTTGACTCCAACTGTTGAACCTGAAACATCAAGCCCTGTCACTGCCCCTTCTTGTGGGCCTGAATCTCAACCGAAGACAGAAGCTGATACCATGCCCTCCTCATCTGGGTCATCTAAGAATCAAATGTTTAAAATCGGTATTTACACTTTCTTCAAAGACTTTTTAAAGTAGGTTTTCATGTTATTGACATTTCAGAAGTTTTATTGTTTAATGTTATTATTTGGATTTTTTCAGAAGTTTTATTGTTTAATGTTATTATTTGGATTTTTACTTTTGTGACTATTGTCCTAACATGGAACTTGCAGGTGACAGAGTAAAATTTATGAATTCAACTTCAGGTGGTCTATATTCCACAGCGTCTTCATCTAGGTACTGCAACCTCTCTCTACTCTTTTTGGAGAGATTCAAAAGGTGGCCTGAATTCTGCATATCTTCTCTTATCATTTAAGCATCCCAATGAATTATGGCATGTTTGGTAGAGGGGAATGGCTAAGCCATTCTGCCCTTATTCCTTCAGAATAGTGTTGCATTTGTTTGGTTGCCTTTTACTGTTGGGAATAGAATGGCTATTCCCAAAAAAAGGGCTTAACCATTCCCCTCTCCCACTTGTTATTAGTCATTTCATGGCTGATGGAACAGGTAAAATTATTATTGGACAAAAATGTCCCTAGTTCCTAGAGATTACAACCCTAACCCTTTAAAAAGCTTTTTTTTCCTCTATTTCTCCTTCTCTTTTTTCCCTTCTTGATCTACCTCTCGCCCCTTCTCTCTAAGCTTGCAGCTGTCCTCGGCTGTCGTCATTGCCAAGTTCTCCGTTGTCGGCTATCAGAGAAATCACGGCGGTGTTGGAGTGTTGATCTGGCACTGGTTGCACCCAGATCTGGCCGTTGGAGCGTCGATCTGGCTGCAGGAAGCACCAGATCTGGTGATGCCATTGGCCAAATCGGTGCTTCAATGACCAGATTTGGCTGCGGTCAATGCCAGATTGATGCCAGCCCCAGCTAGCGCTAGATTGGTGCTCCAATGTCACCGGCTATTTCTCCGATTGTCGGCAACAGATATGAGAAAAGGAAAGAAAAGAAGAAAATGAAGAAAAAAGGAAACATGAAAATAAAGAAAATAAAAAGAAATTGAAATAAAAATTTATATTAATTATTTAATAATAAATTATTGATGTTTAATGAAAAAAATTAAAAGATTAAAAAATAAAAATGCAAATAGAAAAAAGTCAAATAATTAAAATAAAAAATCATATAACTAATTTAATAATAAATTAGAAAATTTAAAAATTTATATTAATTATTTAATAATAAATTATTGATATTTAATGAAAATAGAATTTATTTTTGTTTTAGATTAAAATAAATTTTATCATAATAAAAGGTAGTTTTGTGATTTTATCAATTATTCTTTAATTATTTCAAAGGTATTCTTACCAATCAAACATTAAAATAAGTCATAATAGCAATTCTTACCCTATTCTATTCTATGAACCAAACTACATGATAATCCTTCTATTTTATTCCTTCCATATTCTATTCTCGTAGAATAATTATTTTATGTCATTCATTCCATTCCACAAACCAAACGTACCATTGCAATATGTTTGATTTGGGGGAATGGAATAGCGATTCCTCCCTTATTCTTAATTCTTGTTTAACATCTTATTTGGTTGGAAGGAATGATCATTTCTTAAAATGGACATTCAGGGAGATGAGAGAATAGCTAATACCAAAGTCGCCTTGGTATTGGTTATTTCAGGAGGTAAGGAATAGTGTAAAAAACTAGTTGACAAAAATGTCCTTCATTAATTTTAAGAATTACTATAATATATAAAAGCAATTTATTTATTTTTTAAAGTTTCTTTCAATCTTTGCCCAAGTGCTTCTCTCATTGTCTCACTAAATTAAAATGGATTTAAAATTAAAAGAAAATTAGAATGAATATGAAATTAAAAGGTTTAAGTTTTAATTATAAATTATAAAAATTTAATATTTTAAATTTAAAAATTAAATTAAAATTTTAATTATAAATTTATTGTATTTTTATATTTTAAAAATAAAGAATAAATAAAATAATAAAATAAATATTTTAATTATAAATTATTAATATTTTAAATGAAATATAAATTATTAATATTTTGTAAATTAAAATAAATAATCATTTTAACATTTACATAATAATTTATTAATATTTTTAGTAAATTATTAAAATAATGAATATTTTAATTTAAAAATGAACTATTATAATAAATAGTTTTTTTGTAATATATCAATTATTCCTTTATTCCTAAAACTATTCTTGCTAACCAAATATTAGAATAATTCATAATAGTAACTTTTGTCCTATTCCATTCCCATGAATCAAACTACATAATAGCTATTCATCTCTTATTCTATTCGTACGGAAAGGCTATTCCATTCTCATTCTATTCCTTTTGGCGAAGCAAACACACCTTTACTTTTCTTACTAAATCTTTAACTTTCAAATGTCTGTGTGGTCCTCAGCAGCCTGTTCTCAATGAAATCATTTGATGAGAATCAAAGAATAGCTGTGAAAATTGCTTTTAAAGCCTGTTCTGCGTGTTTTTAAATTAATTGAAACCAATCTAACAAGTTTTAGTGATATGTTGTGGTCCTCAGCAGCCTTTCTCAAAGAAATAATTAATGAGAATTAAGGAATAGCTGTGTGAAAACTTGCTTTCAGCCTGTTCTGCACATTTTTAAATTAATTGAAACCAATCTAACAAGTTTTAGTGATATGTTGTAACTTTAATTGCCCTTCTAGTTGTCTCTTTTAAGGCTAAAAATGGAAAAGCCGTTCCACTTTATCTCAACTCACCGAATATGGCCAGCCATATAGTTTTCTTATCTGTATTCTATTTCTCACGTGCTCTTACCATCTATCTTTTTGTGGTTCTTGGTGTGACAAGGTATTTCTCTATCACCATGCTCTAATTTTTTCTTTATCAATTCAATCTGCAGAGGCCCGCCTAATGGGGTTCGTGGGAAGGTAGTCTTACTCTTTGATGACAATCCTTTCTCAAAAATTGGTGTAAGGTTTGATAAACCTGTGCCCGATGGCGTTGACCTTGGAAATATTTGCGAGGGTGGCCATGGATTTTTCTGCAATGGTAATGTCTTATACATCCCTCAATGTTTTGTGTTTATGTTTAAACTTTTTTTACTGCAGATTATTAAAGTGCTGTCTCTCTTGTTCTTGCTCTCTAGTGTCTGATCTTCGTTTGGAGAACTCAAGCACAGAGGATTTAGATAGATTACTCATTAACACATTGTTTGAGGTATATTTTTCTTTATGTTTGCATAAGTGTATAATACCTGTCTAGTTATGTGGTCTGCTTCCATTCTTTGGTTTCTTATTGACTTAATCTGATCTTTTATCAGGCTGTATACAGTGAGAGCAGAACTTCTCCTTTTATTTTGTTTATGAAAGATGCTGAGAAGTCTCTTGCAGGAAATACAGACTCTTATACTACATTTAAAAGCAGACTTGAAAAGCTTCCTGATAATGTCATTGTAATTGGTTCACATACTCATACTGACAATCGTAAGGAGAAGGTACACATGTTTTTCTTGTTATCTTTTAAGACTTGTTCTTGTGCTCTGTCTTTTGATACATTAAGCTAAATAAATTCACCTGGTTTTGGGGTTGTGAAAGATAAATAAAAGTAAGAGAAAATCAATATGAGAGAGAATTGGAAACAAAATTGCAAAAAGCCGAGAATTTCAGTGGTAGATTGATGCAAAGAGGAAGCTAATAGTGTCAACGACCAAAGAAATGCTGTTCTGCAGTGTAACTGCTTATTGACTTTTAGCTGTTTTCTCAGCAATCTCTATAACTTGTATAAGCCTACCCCAAGTTTAGTATGATCTATGATCCATGTTTCAAATAGCATTAGGCATTAAATATCATATTTCTTTAGTTTGGGGGTGAACTACTATCTCAAAACATTGTGAACCATTTTTTCATTATTGGTTGGTTTCACCTTGGACTCTAGAGTAATATGGGTTGTTCTCATTTAAATGTTAAAAGATCTAAGAATACCTTACCCTATGGTATTTTATCCTTGCAGTCACATCCTGGTGGTTTGCTTTTCACAAAATTTGGTGGCAGTCAAACTGCTCTCCTTGACTTGGCATTTCCGGTAATGATTTTATTTTTTGAAGATTCTCTCTCTCTCTCTCTCTTTCTCTGTCTCTAGCGGGGGTTGCCTAAGTTATGGCGCTATGGATGGTAATATTTGTGTTATTTACTTTTGTAACTACCGTTGACTGTGGGTGCTTTTTGCGATGAAAGCGGTCACAAGGTGTTTGCATATTAATAATTCTTTATGTTTTCATCCTTTTCAAGCTTTTTATTAGTTTGTAATGGGAAATGCTTGCATCAGTCTCATATTCTTTAACACATGAAACTCTCTAGAGTAATTTTATAAATGTATTTTTGATTTTGATGCTTATGTAATTTATCTTTTATCTTTTTCTCTGATGGCTGGTTTGCATGACCTAATGGACAAAAAGCTTTTCCCATCCCTTAAACCTCATGCCTAAAGCATATTGTCTCGGTACTTAGTATAATGTTCAAAGGGCTTTTCTAGACAAAACTGGCATTTTCATTCATTGATATATGATCCCTCCCCCACCCTGCCCCCAGCCCATGGCTTTCTTAGATAAATTAATTGCATACTATTGTACAGTATTTGACTTCTTGCTTCACTGTGCTTTTCTTGGAATTAAAAGGTCATAATTCTGGATTTTGACAATGATATATGTAGTACAAATAGATGTGTGATGACATTTGTTTAAGTGTTGCCGGTGAACAATTATTGGGTAACAAATTATGCATTGATTATTGACTGTACAATTCATTTCCTGTGTAACTGAATATTTTTACCAATTTGGTAGGTATAGATGGTGAAAGATGTTGATATTTTCTTTCTTTGATGGTGCCATAGAAATGCTTGAGTAAAAGTTATCTGAGCCTTTTCTTGTTGATAAATTCTTGATTGAATATTTTTCATTGCATGGCATGTAACTGGAAATGGTAAGTTCAATGTTCTTGAGAATTCTCTTGCGAGAACTTGATTTGGAGCATATAGGTAATATGTTGTTCTTGGTGTTGGGTGTCCTTCTGAATTTAATTTGGGATCAATTAAGGATGTTCAGTTCAACATTTAATTGCGCTCTTTTATCTATAATACTATTTTCAGTTTTAGTTATGTTGTAAAGATGCTGGAGCAGCTGTTCATATACTAAGAAAATTTGCCTTTCCTCCTGTCACCATAAGCTTTCGTCTCCTATGCAAATATGCTTTTCCTCCCTTACACACATGCACTTGCCTGCACACTCTACCTCCTTTAGAGACTATTTGGTTATTCATGATTTACAGTGGTCTGATGTTTGTTCTCTTTTGATATTTTCAGGATAGTTTTGGAAGGTTGCATGACAGGGGGAAGGAAGTTCCGAAGGCAACAAAACTTTTGACTAAGCTTTTTCCAAATAAAGTGACCATTCACATGCCACAGGTTCAAATCTTGTATCACAGATGATAGATTGTGTTTGTTGCACTGTCTATATGTGTGTTTCAAATGGAACATATTGAAGCTTATGTACCATTGCAGGATGAAGCCCTGCTTGCATCTTGGAAGCATCAATTGGATTGTGATGCTGAAACTCTGAAAATGAAGGGGAATCTGAATCTACTGCGAACTGTTAGTATACCTTTTTCTGTCATACTTTTTTCTGGTCTTTAAATGCTAAAGATTGGTTTATGTTGCTTTTATGTTCTCTTGGGGGAGTTTAGGTCCAGTGAAACTTTTTAGTTTTCTTCAGATAAGTTGTTGTGGAGTTTTGAAAATCTTATATTGCTATCAAGGATGGCACAATTGCATGGGAGAACTTCCCTGGCTAGTCACCTAGATATTATGTCATAGAAACAATATTATGGTTAGAGGATCTTTTTTCTTAGCATGTTTTTATTATACATGTATGCCCATTATGTTGGTGTCTTGCAGTATGATGTGGTGTGTCTTGCACTTTGAAATTTACACTGGAATAAATTTACTCGTGCTTAAGATTAGGATTTATAATCAGTGGATGTGCCTTCTCCAAATTCTCTATGAAGTTTACTGTTGTTCCAGGGGTGATGACAAGGTGTATTTTTCGTTTTGGATGCTGTATCAGGGGTAATATATTGACATCAAATCATTTACAAAGTTTTCTGACATCTTGAGGGAGTAATTACCCAAGGGGGTTTGCCATTGGGGGGTTTTTTTGTAAGGTCTTTTGCTTCCCACGGTCAATGGCTTTATATGTTATTCTCACTGACAGGAGCTTGATAAAATTGGAATGGTTCTTCTCTGTTAATTTTCTGGTGTTTTAGGTGGAAAAACAACAGAGAAAAGACTTGTTGGCTCCTGAAAGTAACTACATCCCATAGCAAGTGGTTCATAGTCTCTCATATGCTGTATTCAGGATCTACTTGGTCATTTGTTAGATTGGTTTCTGAGAATGCTGCCAATTTAATTACTGAAAATTAGGCATGTGCAGAAATGAAGTGGCTTTGAGAGTACTTTATGGATTTCCAAAGGCTTAGATTTGGAGAAATTGATCTGTGGGTGAAAGATGAGATTATTAACGTTTTCACCCTTTGGGAGGTGTTGCTCTTTAGGTACTTGGCATTATGATTTTCTCCCTGCCTCCTGACCTCCCCTGGCACTTAGCATTAAGCCTCCTAACAAATTAGAGCATGTGATTACTTTGTTATTACCACGATGAGGGTTAAATTACTCTTTGGCTTCATCTTAATTGATTCTAAAATTTGAGCTTATGGAATGTTGGAGAACTCTCTCCGCATGCTATGGTTATAGATGTGGCATTTGGAAAATGATTATTAATTTTATGTTTTTCATTTTTCTATGTAGGTTTTAAGTCGGAGTGGGATGGAATGTGAAGGGCTTGAAACTTTGTGCATCAAGGATCAAAGCCTTACAAATGAAAGTAAGTTTTCCTTTGACATATCTTCATCTCCATAAATGCCAATAATTATGTACCCAAAAATTTATATTTTTGGTATCCATTGCAGGTGCTGAGAAGGTAGTTGGATGGGCTCTAAGTCATCATCTAATGCAGAATCCTGAAGCTGATGCTGACTCAAGGCTTGTTTTGTCTTGTGAGAGGTACCTGATAGATAATATTCTCATCTCTTTTTCAAAATTTTTTGCTGAATAGTTAATTGTCAGTTGGAAACAAAATTGTAATGCAATTGCAATTCTGGCAGCATCCAGGATGGCATTGGAATCTTACAGGCTATCCAGAATGAATCTAAAAGCTTGAAGAAGTCACTTAAGGTCCTTGTCGTACCTTCCTGCAAAATGAGATACATTATACCAAGTCTCATTCATGTATTCTGTTTCCTAAAATTATAGTGTATCTAACCATTAATCTTCTTTGTGGTTGTTTTGCTGATTTCAGGATGTTGTAACAGAAAATGAATTTGAGAAAAGGCTTTTAGCTGATGTCATTCCACCCAGTGACATTGGAGTTACATTTGATGACATTGGGGCTCTTGAAAATGTGAAGGATACATTAAAAGAGTTGGTTATGCTTCCTTTACAGAGGCCTGAACTCTTTTGCAAGGGACAACTGACCAAGGTTATCTAATATATAGCAATGATCTGTATCATTTAAAATTTTTGCTGGTCATATGTGTTCATTTGGAATATGATTTGTTTCTATTTGTTGTAATTCTCTTTCCCTTTCTTTCAAACCCCACTTTTTGCACCCCCTTCTCCCCCCCCCTTCTTTTGTTTATTCTTTACTTTTCGAGATTGTTCTCATTCTTAACTTCTATGTAAACAGCCTTGCAAGGGCATATCTCTTATTTGGACCTCCTGGAACTGGGAAGACTATGCTGGCAAAGGCTGTGGCTACTGAAGCTGGTGCAAACTTCATCAATATATCCATGTCAAGCATCACATCAAAGGTTAATTCTGTTGTTTCTTTTAACTGATTTGGTTTTGCTATGGTTTAATATCTTATTCAAAATTTATATATATATATTTTGCTGCAGTGGTTTGGTGAGGGTGAGAAATATGTTAAAGCTGTTTTTTCCCTAGCCAGTAAAATTGCTCCTAGTGTCGTATTTGTTGATGAGGTTAGTTATTCGTGATCTCAATTGTATTTGCAATTTGGGCTTGCGCATTGTAATTTTCCTTTCATCTCTGCTGTGACTTATAGGTTGTAGCTAGATGTTGGCGGAGAGAAAATCCAGGGGAGCATGAAGCCATGCGTAAGATGAAAAATGAATTTATGGTGAACTGGGATGGCCTACGCACAAAAGACACAGAACGGGTTCTTGTACTTGCAGCCACAAATAGGCCTTTTGACCTTGATGAGGCTGTCATTAGAAGGCTGCCACGTAGGTAAAGTATTTTTGGCTTCTTTTGGAGGAAAAAAAGAAACAAAAAAAGCAAGCAATGCCCATTTCCTTTGTTCCATTTTCTTCCCATCAACACAAACTGGGAGAACACCACTGCCTACTTTCCTGCCAGAAAGCATTTCTCCAGATGTGATCTAACCATTTTAGTAGAAAATGCAGAAGGAAAGGCCTTTACCTTTTTTTTTGAAACATGTATATCTTGTACGCAAAATACTTGTAAGAATTGCCTCCCCCCCTGCCCCCTAAAACAATCTTTAGCTTCACTATTTCAAAAATTACTATTGTAATATGTCATTGATAACCCAAATAGATCCTTTTGACTGCGGTCCAACTCTTGCGCATAAGCTATACATGGGCACATAGCACCAGCTTACTCCAGTTTGATGCACTGGTGGTTTGAGAGCATCTACTAATAGTTTGGTAGTTTTGGCAGATTGATGGTAAATTTGCCAGATGCTGCAAATAGAGCGAAGATACTAAAGGTTATTCTTGCAAAAGAGGACTTGTCTCCTGAGGTTGATTTTGATGCTGTTGCGAGTATGACAGATGGATATTCTGGGAGCGACTTGAAGGTTTCATTTACTTCACTTTTCCCACTTCCAATGAAATTTCTCTTGGACTTTTTTAGGTGACTGCTTGTTTACTCTGTTATATTGCAGAATCTATGTGTGACTGCTGCACACCGTCCAATTAAAGAGATTCTGGAAAAGGAGAAAAAGGTAGGTATTCTGGCCAGTGAATAGGTTGTTTACTATTTTATATGGAAGGCTTTGGGCTCTACTTGTAATTTGTCAACCTAATGATGATGGCTTCATGAAGTTAGGATTAATGACCATAGCTAGATGGAATGAGTTGATCCTAGTAGTCGGAATTGCAATTGTGATGTTTGATGTAGCATTGACCATGTTTTGCGGGGTAGATTATTCATAATCATGCCTTCCCTAATCAAAGTACTAATCCTTGATGTGACCTAGCCAAGTGTATGAATGAGTCTAACTCCTAAGTTTACAGCTCAAGTGACTGGCGTCCAATTGTTATGCAAATGTTGTCTGCCTAGATTTAATTATGTCTTTGTAGACTGATTTATTTTGTTCTAAAGGGACCGTGGTAAATATCTGTTTTTTTTATTCTTTTTAATTTACTGAAATAGAGATGAGAAGTAAAATAACAAGGATAGTTCGAGTAATCATATCTCTATTTGCATAATGCCAATGAGTTTCTAATAGTTTCAAAATCCATGGCAGGAACGAGCTGCTGCTCTAGCAGAGGGCAAACCTCCCCCGCCTTTGAGTGGGAGTGCTGATATACGTCCTCTAAACATGGAGGACTTTAAATATGCTCATGAGCGGGTAATTGAAAAATAGAAGTTAATAGTTTTTTTTTTTCCTTCAAACAAAAAAAGAAAAAACAAAAGTTGAACTGATTAAGCTACTTCAATTCATATTTAAACAGGTATGTGCCAGTGTATCATCTGAGTCTGTAAACATGACTGAGCTGCTTCAATGGAATGAGCTCTATGGTGAGGGTGGTTCAAGAAGAAAGAAGGCTCTCAGCTACTTCATGTGAAGGCTTTTTGTACAAATGGTTCTTTTCTTCCAAAATTTTCTGCTCTTCTCCTAAAGCCTGTATGCAAGTAATTTGCTGTGCTGTGCTGTGGCCTGTGGGTGGGGGGGCTCAATGGGGAGCTATTTTGTCCGTATAATGGAAGTATAGGTTTTAAGTTGTGTTTCTCAGGCCAGCTGGGGAATGGTTGGTATTAAGGGAGTGAAACCTACCAAACTTCTGGCATGGTTGCACTGCTTTTGTGCTGTTCCCCATCTCCTCGATGCCAGCACGAAGAGCATACTTTTTGTATTTAAGTTATTTAACATCCCATAAAAGAAAGAGAGGACGCTGTGAATATATATATTTATAGTGATTCTTTTTCGTGTTTGTCAGAATTCATCAATAAGTAATGCTAGCAGATTTCTTTAATTTTCAAGAGTCTTTTTTTTAATAAGCCCGTCGATGCTGCATCTGAAACAAGTTTGCATTGTTGGAAAAATACTCGGAAACAAAGCAGCACTTGATTGGACCAAATTTTTCTCCTTGATTTGTCAATCATCTTATAGTGTTTCATTGTCTAGTATCAAATGCTTCCAATATCATCGATAAAAGATTACGGTGACAATTCATTTTCTTTAGATAATTTTCGTTTTAACTTTTAAATGATCCCAACAGGTTCGTCTTCAATCGGCAATGAATAATTATCTATAACGACGTAGCGATCACCAAACTCACCCAGCCCCGGTGTAACTCGGAATTCATCATTCAATGCAACAGCTATCTCTGGCGTGACAAATTTTACGGACGGGAACTGTCTGCATACGCAATGTATTCCCTCCGGTGCCTGAAATTTAGGGGTTAAAACAGCTCCATGAATCCATTTTTGAGGTTAAATTTCCCAAATCAAGAAACCAGGCATTGAAGGAAACTCACAGAGACGAGGTTAAGAAATATTAGCTGGGACTCTGGAACACCCTTCTCCAGGAGGAGTTGGATGGCTTGCTTGGCAGAGCAACCTGAAAAAAGAAAAGATGGAGAGCCTCCTTTTGTCACCCTCCTCTCTGGTGATGATCACAACGCTAATGCTGCTTATTGAAGGCTAGAAATTTTGCTTTACCTGTTGCGAGAGCAGGATCCAGCAGCAGTACATGCCTTTGAGAAATATCTATGGGAAGCTTCTCATATATAAGCTGCCCAACCCAAAGTAGCAGATGCCAAATTTCCAGTGAGACCTTACTTTTTTTTATCCAGGATGGTTTCTGAAAGCAACGAGAAAGTATGGACGTATTCCAATTCTACAAATAAACATCACCTGTTTTCCATTATCACCGTCACGGTGGATGAGGATTTTCCTTATTCTGATTCCTTTGCAGCAAGCTCGCAGTGTGTTCTCCATGCTTTCACCACTGCAAATCGTAGCTCAAGGGAATGAAGTTATAATAAACGAAAATCTTGGAGAGAACATCAGATTCGTAATACAATACTGGGATTTTGCCTCACCTGCTAACAATGGATGCTCCACACAGTTTCTTTCAGAAATCAACTCCAGCGTATACTGATCCTGGGAGAGCATAATAGACATACTCAAATTTTGTACCTCAATTCAATATTACAATATAAAAAGAAATGCAGTTTTCCTGCTAGCGTCAAGGAAGAGAATAAAATACAAATATCTTTTAGCTTTCAGGTTCGAGCCCAGATAACGAGTCAAACTTGTGGCTGTTTCATTCAAGCAATACCTGTAGGTGTGATCACCTGTTTCTCAGTGAATGGCAGGTATCCGAGCCCATGCTCCACCACCTGAAAAATGCATAGAATTAAATTCTGTTACAAATGGAACAAATCTTTTCTTTTACTGCAATTCAATAGCAGAACGTACCAGTCGGATTAGCCACTCTGAATAAAAAGCAAAATCGTTTTTATTTATATCTCTGTCACGAATAAGAGTGTGCATACCTCTAATCTGTAAGCATGTCGTAGCGTTAGATAAAAGCAATAAGAACATATGATGAAGCATCATTTTTTATTGCACTCAGGTAGCAAGCAAATGCACCATCAAATGCCTTTTGAATCATGTAAATCTTAATTTGTCTCTTACTCCTTTGCATGAACTTGCCCATAATCTCAGAAGAAGAAGAAGAAGAAGATACAAATGATGATAAGAATGGCTTTGTTTATACATGATCAATACCTGGAATGTTGACTGGATCTCATTCACATTCGGATATATTTTGCAGAGGTTGTGCTCACCAAGCTTTGTACCAATATGTTTCACAATCAAATCAATTGCTACATGATTCTCACCACCCCGGGGTATGATAACATCGGCATACTTTTTTGATGGCAGAATAAAATCATCAAAAGCTGGTTTCACAAATTTTGCATGCTGCACAATTAAGTAAATTACTATAAGGAAGATAGAGATGACTTAAAAAAGTATGGCTCTCTTATTGTGTTCTCAAAGCTATTTGTTTTTGAAAATAAGTCTGTCTTTAAATTTCCTATGCTGCCAGATACTTTATCCTTACCAGTTTCAACTCTCAATATCTTAAATCAAAACAGGCTACAGACTTGCCTGTACAAGAAAAGATTGTAAAGTTCTGCCCCTCTCAACAGTGTCACGTCACGATTTATTCTGCGGGCAAGCCTCACATCAGCATCTACATGAAGCATAAGATCAATGAGGGACCGTGGAACAGAAAAGAAGACCAGAACTCACTGAATTTTATAAGAAAGAAGATTATGCAGGACACAAAATCTTGTTAACAGATGCAATTTCTGAGTTATAGACAGAACAACAAAGGTTTTACAAATTCAGCTATTTTTTATCATGAGAATGTAGTCTTTGAGCGCTAGAATGTAGCAGCATTGAGAAGTTTATTGTAAATGAACTGACCAGATAAAATCAGTTTTATTAGTTCCCACTGGCATAGTTCATTAAAGTGTGTCTAGCTAATTTTCAGCAATTTTCTAATTTTTTAGTTTACATCTTTTTGCCCCTATACCATAGTTATTCTAGAAACTGACAGTCAAACATGAAATCAGCCAGTGGACTTTAACAATTCCGAAGTTTTGATTTAGCAAAGTTGTCTCCAGCCTCATTACATGACCTTGAGATGTGCCTAATATGCCAGCCACTAGCCACTCTGTTTTTGATTGAGCAAATCTGAAGAATGAGCTGTCGCAGTCGCCATGGGGTTGTACTAAGGTCAGATACCCAAGACACAACATTTTTTGAGTCAGATTCAATGATGATGCTTTTAGAATTCGACAACGAGAAAAAAAAATACTATAAGGCTTCTTCATATCAAAATTGGGTGACCAAAAGAACTACTAATGGTTCAAGGCATCAACAATCAAGAAAATAGTTGGACATGGTCTAATTGAAGTTTCTTCAAGACATGAGCTAGCTACCGGGATCAGATGAAACTGCAACTATTACGTCTTATTTATTGGATATAGCCAGACTGATGTGTTACTTTGAAATGATAAGGAATGTATCATGATTCTGGGCTTAGAATCCCAGATAGAAATCCATGGGAAAATGTTAATCATTTCTGCACTCGACAGTGTATAATGCTTGTTAGCAGACAGTCGATTAACCAAATCAACAAATATGTTTAGCAAGGACAACAATCCTAACATATGTGCATTTCACAAGCCAAATATAGTTGAGCATGGTATATATTAGAATGAAATTACCTGTCTGAAACTTTCAGAGCGACGCTGATGCTGCTTGAAATCATATATTGGAACATGAACAGATTGACCAGATTTAAGCTTGCAAATACGTTCCAACATTTGCTCTGTATCAAATGCATCTATAGAAAAATCACCAAAGGACTTAGGTCAATATAAAGTATGAATCACTACAACAACAAGAAGACAATCTGCTGAATCAACATATAGTAACTTACCAGGATGATCAAAATTAAATTCATGGACAAGCTTCACTTCCTCATCTGTCAATCCACGGTCGAATGAATCCTACGGTATTTAAAATCAAAAGAATTGAACTTTCCAATATTTGTTTCTCAATCCTTAATAAATCCTAAATCCCAGGAAATAGGACGTGACTAAGGGTGAGCTTGGCCCTGGGTTGGCTAATTTCGCAGACCACAGCTTTCCAAACCAACTACAATGCCAAACTAAGCCTAAGCCCGTTGTACGAAATCAATAAATTACTTATGCTACAGATTTCATTTAGACACCTGATTGACAAGTACAACTCTATGGTCATGAAGTTGCTGTATGATCTTGTAGCACACCGTTGTTTTGCCTGATGCAGTTCCTCCAGAGACTCCTGCTCATTTTTTTTGAATAACAATTAAATCAATTAGAAACATAAAGTAAAAATTGAGATTTTTCACCATATCCGGCATCCCCATTTCTCCTATTGCTTTGTTTGGATAATGAGAAAACACATGAGAATCACCCGAAAGTTGCCAACAAGTAATGTTTTGCATGGAGAAGTTTCAAGGAATTGAACCAGGCTGCCTGCTAGAAGATGGATGCATGAATGCTACCAGGGCTTTTGAGATAGGGAATGACTCCTAAATTGATATGCCCAGGCCAAGGGACGTCAACCGAAGTCTTATCTTCGGGGTGAAGCGAAATCTGGATGCTTTTAGTCAAGGCAGTATGCTTGGGTTATAGTTTTCTTTGTGTAATTAGCTTGTTTCGGTTTGGGTCTCTTTCTGTCCTTGTGTGGTTTCATGTATGTTTCGACAAACTAGTTTGTAGTTAGATGAATGGGACAGGTCCCTATTTGTTGAGGGGCTTGATTTTCTCTTGCTAAGGCTTTTGCTATTTGGAGTAGTCAAGTGTAAATGTACTGTTCTTTTTCCCTCTTTTTATATCATTAATAGTCATTTATCTACATGATTCAAGATTTATTATGTCATGCAAGTTTTTAAAATTAATAAAATTTCTTCGTTTACTGAAAAATTTCCCCTTGTTTTCTCAGCAACCAAATTAAGTTGCCAAACCTTTATGCATTAAAACAAAACCACAAAACAGAACAAGAGGCAAAAAAAAAAAAAAAAAATCGGTTTCAAGCGTAGGGATTAGTTGATATTATATACACCGATGACAAAAGGTTGTTTGGGAGCATTATATTCAGCCGGTTGTGGTGCGGTCAGCCGCGACGAAACAATACCGTCGGGCAGCAAACCGGAGAAATGAGCCCCGGAGGTAGCATGCATTACGTTATCCATAGTTGAAGACGGATTCCTCGTTTCGCCTGACTTTGGCTTAGTTTTGATCTCTGTGTTTTGGTGTCGGAAAAGGAAACATAACTCGGGGTTTTGCAATCTGCAGGAATATATATGCCATAAGCAGCATCTCATTCAACGGGATG